GCTATTTACATGGGAAGCGACGAGATATGACACGGTATTTTTCAAGTGTACCGTGAAACTCAACTGACAAAATGAGCCTGCACAAGTTGGAGAAAATTTGCGCATTCCGACCATCGTGGTGTGTCTTCTTATTACTATTAAATTTAAAGTTAACCAGCATGGCAGGCTTTCTGGGTTTGGAGGAGGGTTTGGGGAGTTAAAGTTTACCAGGCTAGCCACATGTACGCATTGCGTACCTATTTTTTTAATTCGTTCTGGCAAAACAAGTCGCGCATGCATGAATGCATGTCGCAGTATTACGTGCGTCTGTGAACCCAGACGACATTTCATTATGCTCATTCTTCTTTCGGAATGATAGCGTGGGAAATACTGTCTAGTTTCGCAGGCTATAGTATACCGCTCTTTTCAAAAGAAGCAGCAGGGATGAAACTTCAGCCAGTGCTGAATTAAAAAAATACCAATGAAATATGATTACATGGTATTTCGTCAAAACTTTTTTCTTCAAGATCGGTTTAGAAACAAACCTGGATTAGAGTTTGTATTTGGAATATATTATGCGTTAGTATTTATAGTAAAACCATTGCTTTGTGTTAATTGTTACGTTCTGTCACTCTGAGGCCAGCGAAATAACCCCTCTTCCATCTTATCACGGGCCACGGCAGTAGGCCGGCAGATTCGATTCCTCAGGTCCGACAGTTGCATTTTTCGCAACTGCTCCTGATTAGGGCTAATAACCAGCAACCAAGTGCACAATTAGTTTCATATTAATCTGACACTGCAATCGAGCAACGAAAAATTCGTTGGCTCGAGCGGGATTTGAACTTGCATCTTCGGGTATCTAGACCGCCGCTCTACCTATCGAGCTATCGAGTCAACAGAGATTGGTAGCGAGTCTTATCCAATTTAAGTGCACGAAATATTTTCGTGACAACTTAACGCTTGTCCTGGAGGACGCGCAGTGTTTCAATTCTATTTCAGAACCATCCTCAGAGATACGAAAAACTAGTTAATGAAAATATTTCGTGCACTTAAATTGGATAAGACTCGCTACCAATCCCTGTTGACTCGATAGCTCAATAGGTAGAGCGGCGGTCTAGATACCCGAAGATGCGAGTTCAAATCCCGCTCGAGCCAACGAATTTTTCGTTGCTCGATTGCAGTGTCAGATTAATATGAAACTAGTTTTTCGTATCTCTGAGGAGGATGGTTCTGAAAAAGTGCACAATTATAACACTAGATCAGCAAATAACTATCGTTCCCATTTATGTCGCACTAATCTAAAACAATTCACAATATTTTACCATGGTCCTAAGGCTAAGATTTGGAATTCTCTATCCTCTTGTAAACGAGACTCGCCTAGTCTTTCCTTAAAGTAAAAAGCAAATTCCGAAAATACAGGACATCTTGAGAATTCAATATATAATTATATATTGAATTCTCAAGATGTCTTGTATTCTCAAGATGTCCTGAATTCTCAAGATGTCCTGTATTTTCGGAATTTGCTTTTTACTTTATTTTTTTAAATTGTCGGCTGGTCATGGTTTTTAGTCTTTCCTTATTCAAGAAAAACATGATACAATTCTTATAAAGCTATAAAACGACCATGCCGCACTTGTAACGAGTATCGTAAATAAATAGAATATTCTAAATCTGCACAAGGTGGCCTTACCAGATAAGCCTTGCGGTTTCCTGAGGTCTCCTTGCACCTTTACTACTATAGACTGCTATGTGTAAACTTAATATTTGTGGCAAATCAATGTATCGTGTATCTAAAAATTCCACTGAAAGTCTCGTCTGCAAAATCCTTTCAACAACTATATCCAGTGAGATGCCCAACATCCTGATATTTACAAATACCAATAAACGAGCTATGATTATTCATATACAATGTGTGTTCAAATAATTAACGATCGATATTACGGAATTTGCCGGCACTTTCAGAGATAATCCTTTAAAACTATTCGGTATTATATATGTAATTACCTGTAGACAATGGTCGCATTTGATCAATTAATATTACCCTATTCATTGGCATCTGGAAAGCGTTCTGTTTCTAGAGAGTTCTGCAGTCTTGATATAGGTAGCATGGGTTGTTATCAGCACCAGCTGAAATTTCATCCCGGCTGCATACCTAATTTTACGATTTTTTTGATCACTGCACATTCCATAAGCGAAAGGGGGTCTGCCAGTCTGCATGAAGACCGCTGGTATATCCCAATTAGCCTTTTTCCCAAAAGAGATCACAGTGCATTCTGGGATTGTTTGGAGGTACAAAATATATGGAGACAGGCGTCAAATATGTGAAAGAGTAGAAGTATCTACTACACAGCTAAAAACGATCAGGTTGTTGCAATATTGATGAAAACAGGATTGAACAATGTTGTGCGGCCCACATTGTTCACAGTTGCCAACAACATTGAACAATATTGTTACACCCGATTCAACAATATTGTTACACCCGATTCAACAATATTGTTCAATATTGTTGACAAGCATGTGAACAATGTGGGCCGCACAACATTGTTCAATCCTGTTAAATCAAATATCAACTTTTTACACGACCAAAAATGAAATATCCCCTTTTTACATTAAACTTTTAATTTAAATGCATGTGTGCTGCCATATTTCTTGCCCCTCCAACAAGAGATTCGCGCGACTATAGACCCAGGACTTTTTTTACAAAATTTTACAGAAAATTGACTGAAAATGTCACCATGCTTGGCAAAAAATAGCCTATTGAGTGCAATCCATGTAAACTCTGAGGAGAAGCTTTAAACTTTGTTTGCCAATACATTGGCCAACCTCGTACCCAGGGTATTTGCTCTTGGGGAGCGAAATACCCTGGTATGGCCTGGTCACGACACGTGACCCGCGGATTTTGCGTAAAATGGCGTATTGTTTACTAGGGTCGGGGGAGTGAGTATACATTGTCATTCCTAGTAATTATATCACGCTTTTAAATTTTAATTACTAGGAGTGACAATGTATACTCACGCCCCCGACCCTAGTAAACAATACGCCATTTTACGCAAAATCCGCGGGTCACGTGACCAGGCCATACCAGGGTATTTCGCTCCCCAAGAGCAAATACCCTGGGTACGAGGTTGTACATTGGCGATACAATTCGAAGTTGCATGTATTGCTTATGCTGTACTGGAGTGAGAAAATGATACGAAATTCCATGTATTTGCCACCAAACAAAAGGCTAATACATAAAAAGAACAATCGATTCACTCTGATAACTGTATTTTGTTTTAGAGTTGAGCCCCCGTCACTTCTGTGACGTCATATGGCAAGAATGGAAATGTGGAGAGGTAATATATAGTTTCGAGTGCAATTTAGAAAAAACATGCACGAGCGAGCTTTTCAAACTGACGACTGTATATTTTTCCAGAAACCATACCTGATCGTTTTTACACGCGTAAAAATTGAGAAAATCAACAACTTGTTGCAAGTTGATATCGACAGGCGTGAACAAGGTTGTGCGGCCCACTATGAACAGTATTGTCAACATGTTGTTACAGCATTGTTCAACTGTAACAACTTGGAACAACATGGTTGACAACTTGTTCATAGTTGGCCTCACAACATTGTTCACGCCTGTCGATATCAACTTGGAACAACCTGTGCGTTTTTAGCCGTGTAGGCTAAAAACGCCGAGCCCGTTGCTCAAAAAAACTGAACTGATGTTTTGCTGCCCACGTTGTTCACACTTGTTAACAATATTGAACAATGTTGTTGAGCCTGAATCGGGTGCAACAATATTGTTCAATATTGTTGACAGCTATGAACAAGGTGGGCAGCAAAACATTGTTCAATCCTGTTTTCATCAGTATTACATCAACCTGAGCGTTTTTAGCCATGGAATGACCTGTGGGCTTACGGATCGAAAGCTTTGCAGTAATAAATTTACGCGGTTTTTTTTTGTTTTATTTGTTCTTCTAGATTATTACAAAATTAAATAAGTTTTGTCTGACGTTTCGGTTTCCTATACGAAAACCATTTTCGAAGACTTGAAAGTTTGTTCATTTTATCCGTTGATGTTTATCTTACGTCAGACAAAACTTATTTAATTTTGTAATTTTCTAGAAGAACAAATAAAACAAACAAAAAATGAATGAACCTGGTCCTGGATTCAAACCTTCGTATTCAACGGTCGTAAAGATTGAGTCACGATCTTTCTCATCAGCCGAAATACAACATTTTAGAACTGAAAATATGCGGAGTGAATATAACTAGAGAATACTAATGATTTATAATTATGTGGTTTACAGGTATAAACTATTATGAAACTGGCCGTTGAGAAAGATCGTGACTCTATTTTTACAACCATTTCGACCATATGGAAACCAGGCTTTTATATGCAGAAGCAAATTCATTCTCAGGGAAATTGAAATACACAAAATCTTAATATACAAGTTTTTACGGTGGCCCACACCGGCAACACAGAAATATAATAGAATTGCGAAAAAATATTTCTTATTACTGAAACATCATAAATATATAAAGAGTACAACAAATATATTTTCAGTACGCAGAAATATTTCTCAGTATGCAGAAATATTTCCCAGTATGCAGAAATATTTCTCAGTACGCAGATATATATTTCTCGGTATACGCAGAAATATTTCTCAGTACGCAGAAATATATTTTCAGTACGCAGAAATATATTTTCAGTACGCAGAAATATTTCTCAGTACGCAGATATATATTTTCAGTACGCAGAAATATTTCTCAGTACGCAGAAATATTTCTCAGTACGCAGAAATATTTCTCAGTACGCAGATATATATTTCTCAGTACGCAGAAATATTTCTCAGTACGCAGATATATATTTGCAGTACGTAGAAATATTTCTCAGTACGTAGATATATATTTTAAGTACGCAGAAATATTTCTCAGTACGCAGAAATATTTCTCAGTAAACAAATTCATACGAAATCGAAGGAAATTTTCTTAGCAAAAGAGGAAGCACCGCCTAAACTTCACACGTGAGCAAGATGGCCGTCAATCAGTCGAGCGCGAAGTTTTGCTCCAATTGTGGATTTTCTTTAGAAAAAAACTTTTGTTTTTGCCCAAAGTGTGGAAAAGACATAATAAATAATGCCAACGTCAAAGAAGATGAAAAGGTCAAGACTGAAATACCCTCCGACAATGCAAGTAATAGCAGGAGATTCGCAATGCCAAGGTTTTCCTTGCCCAGCTTTCGCGCCTTTAAAGCCAAGAAAGAAACTGAACGACAAAATTCGTTTTCCAAAAAGAGTGCCACTATTAACAAGAAAAGAAAAATAGAAGACAAAGAAGTTACTATACAAGTTGGTGTAATGGATGAATACTTCAAAGTAAAACGGGGAGAAGCGATTCCGTTAAATCACCATGCTCTTTAAGGTACGTTTACACGCTGCGATTTGTCGGGCCGATTTTGCTCGCTGTATGTAAATAACCTGTCGTAAGTACTCGCATCAGCACCTTGCGATTCACAAAATCGGGAGAAAAATCTGTAACACTAACACAGATTTTTCTCACGATTCAACGATTTTTCTTCCGTTGTAAAATTGTTGAAAACTTTTCGCACGCAGTAAACTATAATATAAACAGACGAGAGAGCGGACAGCTTCAATTGAACGTTTAAATCGCTAAATGTCGAAGAAGGGGCATCGATTATTTACCAAAATCGGCCCGACAAATCGCAGCGTGTAAACGTAGCTTTAATCGCTGCTGCAAGAATCGTATGTGCTGAGGCGGTCGAAGAAATCTTTAACGGAATCGTTTCTCCCCGTTTTACTTTGAAGTATTCATCCATTACACCAACTTGTATAGTAACTTCTTTGTCTTCTATTTTTCTTTTCTTGTTAATAGTGGCACTCTTTTTGGAAAACGAATTTTGTCGTTCAGTTTCTTTCTTGGCTTTAAAGGCGCGAAAGCTTGGCAAGGAAAACCTTGGCATTGCGAATCTCCTGCTATTACAGTGTTACTTGCATTGTCGGAGGGTATTTTGGTCTTGACCTTTTCATCTTCTTTGACGTTGGCATTATTTATTATGTCTTTTCCACACTTTGGGCAAAAACAAACGTTTTTTCTAAAGAAAATCCACAATTGGAGCAAAACTTCGCGCTCGACTGATTGACGGCCATCTTGCTCACGTGTGAAGTTTAGGCGGTGCTTCCTCTTTTGATAAGAAAATTTCCTTCGATTTCGTATGAATTTGTTTACTGAGAAATATTTCTGCGTACTGAGAAATATTTCTGCGTACTTAAAATATATATCTGCGTACTGAGAAATATTTCTGCGTACTGAAAATATATATCTGCGTACTGAGAAATATTTCTGCGTACAGAGAAATATTTCTGCGTATACCGAGAAATATATATCTGCGTACTGAGAAATATTTCTGCGTACTGAGAAATATTTCTGCGTACTGAGAAATATATGAGGGCCCCCTATACTTTTTGCGTGAAGCGTGAATGGCTTATTTTACTTAGCCGTGAAACGTGATCGCGCCCCCTATAATTTTTGCGTGAAGCGTGAAGGGCTTATTTTACTTAGCCGTGAAACGTGATCGATGATTTTCTTAATCCGTGACTCGTGAAAATGCATTATATTTTTACGTGAAGGCATATTATGAAGAGGTATAGGGGGCCCTCATATATATCTGCGTACTGAGAAATATTTCTGCGTACTGAAAATATATTTCTGCGTACTGAGAAATATTTCTGCGTACTGAAAATATATTTGTTGTACTCTTTATATATTTATGATGTATCAGTAATAAGAAATATTTTTCCGCAATTCTATTATATTTCTGTGTTGCCGGTGTGGGCCACAGTATCTGATCAACAGTCCACAAGGAAAAGAAACGTAAATCAGGCTTGGTAAGTCAAAATATTTCGTACAATACGAACAGACATTTACTTGCAAGTATTCGAACGATATTAAATAAACGTAAAGAGATATGGCCACTGGGTTTACCCCACCAACAATGAACTGGAATGCTTCAGACATTCCAG